AATTTGTACCAACTGGGAGTAGGAAAATGTAGTAAATACCGTCTGTTATTTTCTCTTAGGGGAAAGAGGTCACAAAAGAACTGTCTCTGCTTTCTTTACTTCTCAGAAGCTTAATTCCCTACTGAGGTCCTGATTTCTTTCTGTTGTCATAATGCAGGTGTGTGTTCCGAGTCATAAAACTCTGTCCTGATTTTTCATCTATTTATTCCTCTGAGCCTGAGATGTAGGAGTATGTGGTGGCAAGAATGTTTTAATGTTTGACAATACAAATAACAAATGATGATGGATCAGCCTAGGAAAGCTGGTACCAGGAGAGGGAGGCAACCTTCGGCTCTCAGTGGCAGGCTGCAGCAGTGCCATCTGCCTCCTTCACGGGGTTCTCCGTCTCTTCAGCTGTCCTTGTCCCTTCTAGCTCCTCTGCTCCCCACTCTAAGCCCGAGGTCTTCTGACAAAATCCATCCCTCTGATCCTATTATTCTTCTACAAGGAATCTTTTGTCTCTTTCTCATTTTACTTTGCAATTTAAGTCATCTGTCTTTTCTTCATTTTGTGTAGTGTATGTACACAAATGCATATGTGGGTGTTTAAAAAAACTACAGCACTATGGAAAATGAAGACAAACTTTTATGCTGTTTAGGCTCTTACACAGAAACAGCAAAGAAGTTCCCCATGGACCCATGGAGAAAAAGCAGGTACTAAATGTACATGATTTTGTTACATGCAGTGACATGCTAATAATGGAATTTATGTATTATTGGTACGAGTGATACTGATTTATATGGCTTGACTGCTTCTTATTATTCATGGTAGCCTCATAAAAGTTTACACCATTATCACTCAGCAAATAAAATCACACACAACTCAAAAGAAGATGGAAGCAAAGTTCAAGTATATACACTGACTCAATACAGCACCAACCAGAGAGCAACAGACTTCAACTGGCCTTGCAGCCCCTATTGAAGAATGACCTTGAGCTATTCATTTCAGAGACCATCCCAAGTACAAATAATTTTGAAATGTTCAAGATTTTGGAACCACTTAAATTTGCACATCATTTCAAAGTAGCGAATGCTGAAGGGTCATTCCCTGTTCTTCCTGTCCTCCAGGTGACTGAGTTTTTTTTGGGGGAGAACTTGATGTATTCAGTAACCATCTTTAAATACATCAGAGGCTTCAAAACTTGCTGTCCTTTCAGCACGCACAAGGTCATTAATAGGCCATTTGTAAAAAATGCCTCTTGGCCACTAACGTTCCTACCTGCTATTACATTCAGGAACAACAGGAAAGGAAACCCATCGGGACCCTTAATTGTCCAACATGGGGCTAGTATGTTGGAAACACAATGTCCTAGGTGGGGTATCTCAGAAGGGCAATTAATGCCTGATTAGACAGCAAGCTACTGTGCTGAAAGAGCACCCACACTGTCCATGCCACTCTGTGGTAACGCAGCTTCCACTTTTTAAACTGTGATGCATTCTCATTTACATGCAAAGACCTGATCCGACCCCATCATTCAAGCGGCAGACGCTGGTTTTAACGTTGATGATAGTATGCCACTGGCGCAGATCCTGTGCCCTAACTCTGTGCATTAACCTCAAATTAACGCCCACAACTTGGCAATTTTCTTCTTAAAAATGCCCTTCCTCATCTAGTGGAACCCTGGTACCGCTCCTATTCTCTTTCTCCATGCACATTTCTCAAAAAAAGGTGACCTCTGGATTGTTTCCTGGGAGATGCTGAAGAGGCCTGAAAATAAAACATCTAATTGACTAGAGGTCTGATTAAAACCATAATTACAAAGTGACTAATTCTGACAAGGTGTTAGCCGTAAAGTTTTCTTTTCTCACCTCGTCTTCTGTCTTATAGGCTCCACCAGTGCTAAAAAGAAAAGTGAGTAAATTCCAGAAGTCGGAGAAACTTGGTTTTTCAACCAACACTGGTAGTTTCACTGGAGAATCATGTTTTTGGCCAGCTATTACTAGAAAAAAATAACTGAAAAAAGGCTCTGCCTTTTATAATTTACCATCTCAGTGAAAATCTGCTTCTTAAATTCTAATAAAAAAGATCCATAGTAAACTTTGAGGCTTCTTAGAAATCTGGGTCCCCAGTTTAGTACTTATATACTCCATGGTAATCAGCCAGTTGCTTGTGGGAAATCCTGCAAAGATGTTTTGTGCATGCATTTAAAACATGCCTGTCACTATTCACAACAGCCAAGTTATGGAAACAGCCAAGATGCCCCAGCACTGACGAATGGATTAAGAAAATGTGGTATCTATACACAATGGAATTTTATGCAGCCATGAAGAAGAACGAAATGTTATCATTCGCTGGTAAATGGATGGAATTGGAGAACATCATTCTGAGTGAGGTTAGCCTGGCCCAAAAGACCAAAAATCGTATGTTCTCCCTCATATGTGGACATTAGATCAAGGGCAAACACAACAAGGGGACTGGACTATGAGCACATGATAAAAGCGAGAGCACACAAGGGAGGGGTGAGGATAGGTAAGACACCTAAAAAACTAGCTAGCATTTGTTGCCCTTAATGCAGAGAAACTAAAGCAGATACCTTAAAGCAACTGAGGCCAATAGGAAAAGGGGACCAGGAACTAGAGAAAAGGTTAGATCAAAAAGAATTAACCTAGAAGGTAACACCCACGCACAGAAATCAATGTGAGTCAATGCCCTGTATAGCTATCCTTATCTCAACCAGCAAAACCCCTTGTTCCTTCCTATTATTGCTTATACTCTCTCTACAACAAAATTAGAGATAAGGGCAAAATAGTTTCTGCTGGGTATTGAGGGGGGGGAGCGGGAGGGGGTGGAGTGGGTGGTAAGGGAGGGGGTGGGGGCAGGGGGGAGAAATGAACCAAGCCTTGTATGCACATATGAATAATAAAAGAAAAATGAAAAAAAAATAAATAAAGTGCCATGCCCCAGGAAAAAAAATAAAATAAAATAAAACATGCCTGTTTGTTTGGGATGCATGTTAATGTTTTCTCTTTCTAGTGTGGACTCATTCTATTTTTCTTGGGTCCTGCCAGAGCAGTACTTTGAAAGGCCATAGACTTAATATTCTCGTCTTAACATATACTTATTTATACTTCCCCACTTCCTTTCTTCCAAGAGGATTTAGGGCAGCTTGAGAAGTTATCTCTTAAAAATCAAAATGAAAATAAATGTGTGGTATAAAGTTTTGCACACCCATCCCAAAACTGGTTCTTTGCTTTTTACTGAGCAAATTGAAGCGTGTGTATTTTCAAAAGGGAAAAATAAGACAAATGCAATTTCAGTGTATCTATTGCCTCTATTTTCAGTAAGTTTCCAAAGATAGGACTGGCTTGCACAAGAGGATCCTCATTCTTTAAGTAAGAAAAACATACATATACTCACGATAAAAATTTAACAAGTTACAGAAGTGCGTATCAAGTAGAAGGTGAAAAAAGGTGGTAGTTCTGTTAGGCAAGCCTCTCTGCTCAGAAATGACTGCTGCTAACATCCTGGAGCAGAGACTTCCAGACTGCAAAAGCAGCGCAGAGAGCATTGGCAAGGATCCAAGCAGCTGGACCCCTTGTGCACTGCTGGAAGTTACACAGATGCACCACTTTGAGAAACAAAATAGCAAGCCATTAAACCAATATCAAAGTTATTTTAACTGAATCAGAGGAGAGTATCAGGGAGATGGCTTGTAAAAATAAATTACATGCAAGTCCTTACTCTTTGCCACTACCCAGCTAAAGGCAAGTCACATAAAAAGTCACATGTGGTAAGCTCTTATTATCCCTCCTTGGTAAAGACGAAGGAAACCCAACACACAGAGGTTAGAGACTTTGATGAGGGCCACATAGCCTGGAAAGGGCTAAGGTGAGGCTCAAACTCAAGCCTGTCAGTCCCCAACCCCCTCTGCTCTCTGGTTTCCTTTCAGCACAACTGCAGCCATCTCTGTGAGTGAGAAAACAAGGAGAAACCTGGAATGCAAGGGGCCAGACCTCTGCAGGCCACGAACAGCATGGCAGGAATCTGGAATTAAAGTTGACAGTGAGATGGAAATGTTGCTGTACTGATGAAAACCCTAACACAGTGGAAGAAGAATAAACCTTTTCTTCCAGAAACCAAGGTTCCTCCTGGAGCTGCCCCTTCTTACAGGACAATGGCATTCCCTCTAAGTGCCCACATAGCTTTGCAGCCCCATTCCTCATTTTAATATGGAAGCACTCCAAGAGGTGAGTGTGAGATAAAAAAGGGAGTAGGCTAGGGTAGCTGGATCCACCAAAAGAAACACCTGGCTGCTCACCAGATACCACCAGCAACCTTCTGGGACTCCAGTTCCCTCACATAGTATTGAAATGACTTCAGAATATTTGGTTAAGATGAACATTCGATGAATAATACTGTGATGAGAAGCCACTGAAAGACAAAACACGTGTTTGTAAACATAGCATTTTATTAACAAAATGTTTACACCTTTCTTACAACAAATTCTATACTGACTTAGCATGTTATACTCTATAAAAGTGTATTACAGAATAGTTAAGCTAAAACAGTACTGTTGAAAACTATGCCAAATCTACCTCCATTTGCAAACTATCTACTACCAGCATAAGTAAATAAAGAAGAATCATGTAACAAAAACCAAAAGGCCTAATGTTCTATTGTCAGCAACTACAAAGATATCATAAGGTTTACATAGACTTAGGTCCAGCCCAAGGTCAAGACTGCAAAAATAAAGTCTCCAAACGTCCGTAATAAGCTTGGCAAGCCATCATTACAGTGTCCATTACAGGTAGCCAGGCTATGTGTCATGCAGTGTGAAGCCACAGCTGTAGATCTGGGATGTCGACAGTGCTACAAAGCGGCCAAAACTGTAAGCAATTTAATTCTTTTTCATAATAGATGCTATTATAAAAAGGCACAAATATCTTACTCCTTGTATCAGGTCTTGACAAGGCATGGCATTCTTAGGAGAAATAAGAATTGCTGGTACAACAGCTTAGCTTTTTTTTTTTTTTTTTTTTTAAATGTCTAGACTCATCTCCATAGCAGTTGTTCTTGTAGACTTTTGATTTGGATTTTTACATACTTTTAACAAATGCTCTATTGTAAACTCAGTGAAGTTCTCACACTTAAGCCAACTATCTTATCAACAAGGATAAGACGTTTTGTCAATCAGTGTGTTCCCACTGTTAGACAGTGCTGCCCATTCCTTTTCTGGAACTCCTGGAGTTTTTCCACCTGTAGTGGCCTTTGAATTTCTGCCAGGACTAGAAGCAGCTTACTTCCTAGCTGGACGGAGTGGGTAAACCCTGCTGCTGCAACCCTGCAAGGCTGCACGGGGAGGCATGATAAGTATGCCAAGAAGGTGGCTGGCACAGTGTGCCTCTAAGAGAGAGAGCCCACAGAAAAGTGAGAAGAATAAGGGAAATAAGGCAAGAAGTCTGCTTCGATCACAGAGAAGGCAAGACTTAAAATTTTAAGGTCAGAGGAATGATTGATATTATGTGAGTGACTTGTAAAGTGAAATGATGGAAAGACTGAGCTGGACGAGAGCATTAAAGCTCTGACCACACAGCACAACAAATGGTTTAAAAATAGAGCCAACAATCAGTCGCTCTGACTAGCTAGCTGCCAATAATTTCCCCACCCTGAGCTGACTGGTCCATCTGAAGTCATGTGCATGACCCACATTAAGAAAAAGTTTCAGAAATTGTGCAACAACTTCAAGCACAAGGTAAGTGGAAGCAAACAAATTCAAGCACTGCTTTCAAAACTTCTCATGGTGTAAAACGAATTATTTAGGTACAAACTTAATGGAAAATTAATAATGGCCAATTGAGGTTAGGAGTAGGCCCAAGAGCAAACACCACTGTGGGCAAGGGCTCACACGGTCCAGTACGTGCAGGTGCAGCTCACTCTTCTGGTTGTGCTGTCCTGGGGAGGGGGTGGCCAGCTTTTATACAACACAACCTTACCCGTTTTGGGGCTTCCTTGACATTTTCAGTTCTGAGTAAAGATTACTGGCTCTATGTGCAAAATGCTATTTTAAAGATGATTCTTCCAATGTGTTGCATTAAACAATTGGTTTCCCTATACACTAGAAAGTTTCTGAATCAAGAAGTGGTATTAGTAAAACTGGCGTGTTTTGTTTCTGTTGCATGATTAAGGAGGGCATTAAGGTCTACAGTTTAAAACTACCAATTAAAGAAGGCTGTTAAAAACATCATTGCTGCCTTAGGACTTCCCATTAATTGGCAGACAGAACTTGGTACTTAAATTCGGGCTCATGGAAAGTTACCCAGAATTTTTAGTGTTTTGATGAGGCATTGGGTACCATACAGGTCTAAAAATTAACAAATTAAAAATTTTTTTATTACATTTTAGACATTATGGTTTTAATCTCACAATCTACTGTTTATATATTCTAATCTTACTATCGAAAATGTTCAACATAATAAAAGGAGTAATTGGAAGGTTTGACATCTTTTTTTTAAATTAAAGTTCTGAATCCTTTTGTTTTGAAGCTAAAAATATCCTGGCATATCTGTAATTGATTATACTCTGAAAGGAAAGAACACAGATATTAGTTATTTCTGATGGTACAGACCATCAAATTAAACTTGATCTATGCTACTGGAAGTCCTTCTAGATTTAGAAAGTAAATCATTTTCCTATATGCTAAGAAAATCCTGAAGGATGAGCTAGGAAATATGACAATTCTTGGTTATATTCATTCACTTTTCTCATTATGTCTAATGAAACTTCATCACAACAGGTCTCTCACTTGTCATTTCCTTTGATGGAAAAAATGGAGGGTCCTGAAAAATGTAGTACCTTTCTAATATTTTTTTAGACTTTCATTTGCACATAAAACAGGACAAATGCCCTGGAATTCCATTAACATTTCTTGCAAATCAGATAATCAAATTGCCTGGTTTTCTATTACTGGAAGTCAAGACAAGCAACTCTGCTGTCAAAAGAAATTTGCAGAGGTCGTTTCTTTAAGTCCTAGGCTAAATTCCACCTGCATCTCCCTTTTTTTAAAAACAAAAAACAAAACAAAAAAAACTATACAGTTGTCTGTTTATCTCCTAAGTAATTTGTTGCATGGATGATTTTTTAAAATCATATAATACTAAAGGATATCCTAAACATCACCTTGAAGCATTAGAAGAAATTTTTTTCTGTGATGAACCAAGCTGTCACAGCTTGTTTCTTCAGAGTTATTCCATTTTTTCCTTTAAAATATTAACTGCTAAGAGGTAGAGTATATCTTGAAGTCAAACAGTAAACAAAAATTATGCTAGTCATCCCTTTAAAACAAATTTAAATAATGAGGATTTTCAAAGGCTTACACTATCTCGCTTACCATTTCACTTAACATTCATCATAAAATCGGACGGACATTTACAGCCTAGAGAGATTAGCAAAGACAGCCAGCCTGAGAGCATGGGCTGTCATTTCCCCCAAATGTTCTAAAGCAGGCTCCTAGGATGGATCAGAGAGAAGGGATTTCTGGTTACTTTGCTCTGGAAGGAGATGATCCTCTCATTACTCATGTAAGTTTGTATGGAGACATATGTTCTAGAAATCACATACTGTGGTGCCTGTAGTTTATACTCTGAGGGCCCATGTGTGTGTTCTTCTTGTGTTCTGGAAGAATGAGTGAAGAAATGCTAAATGGAATTTATATAACCTCTTTTACAATTCTCTCTTAGAACATAAAAGATGCACACAGTAATGAACAAACGCCTTTTGGCTGGAGGCTGACATGCCAATTAGTGCAGTGTAGTCTGACTCTAACCTATTTAAACACATGCCACAAAAGAAAAACAACCCCCCCACCCCCAATTCTGGTTTGACAGTTCCAGGAAAGCCATGCAGTAGTTACCTTATGACATGTTCATTACCATAGCTCCCAGCATTTTAGAAGGCCTCCTATATCTATTTTCCTCCTTGAAACAAGAAATAGAAGACTTAAGGAGAAGTTCTGAAATTTCACGGATTTAAAAGCAAAGAGAATTACTAACGTTAAGGTCACTGGTCTACTTAAAGGAGACCAAGCCTCTAATTTAAGCCTTGTTCCTTTCAGTCCTGGGTAGGTGTCCAGGCAATCAGAGCATAATGAGAGGAGGCAGGCACTTCAAACAGCTTCATAAGCGGAGAACAAGGATGCACGCTATTTTAAAAAGAACAAGTCTTTCAGCTGCTATGCGCAGAACTTGTCCTGACTGGCTGTCAAGCAGGTGATGGAGGTTTTGCTGGGAGCCAGCAGGGCTTGCAGTAGGTACTTTTCCCCAATCACTTCTTGCAGAGTCTAAGATGAAGGACACTTAATCATACTTACTTTATGTTCTTTTAATCACCAATGATAATTAATTAGTTATCAAAGAATCAGAAAACACTTATGTAAAAGGAGAGATCTAGGGGCCAATGGTTTCTAGGATTGGACACCTACGAAGAGCTTGTTTCAATTTCTCTGAAAGGAATCAATATACACTTGCAGCTAATTAATTTTTCTTTTTTGTTCAGCCCTGAAAAATTTAAAAAATGGCCCTGTGTCATAAGGGAACCATGATGGACTATGTCTTAATTCCTTTGGTGGTTAGCCTTTTCTCTTAAGAATTAAGAAAGAAAATATGAAATTTGTATTAGACAAGTATTTACTCAGGTTAATCCAAAATGTGTTTAAAATAAAGCACTGCTTCTGACTTCATCATCCATCTTTGTATTTTAGAAACAAAGAAAATAAGGGACAGTCCATTCTATCCCCCAACCCCGCTTCATTGAGTGTGGATTCTGGATCTGAGACAGAAATCTGTTGTTAAGCATTACAAAGATACCACAAGAGAAACAGCACCCTGTCAATTTCTGGGGCAGACCAATAGAAATGAGGGAGAAGAGGACCCAGAAATGCATGAGCACAAGCTCCATGCTATTTGTTCTATTAGTAAGACCGTAGCTATGGCCAAACAGTCTCTCCCCACCTCTGGGTGGGAGTGTGAGAATCAGCCAGGGAAACCAACTTCCAAGGGCTGAAGAGATGGCCCTGCTGGGCTAGATGCAGTAGGACACCATGTAAGACCAGAGGCATTGGGATGTGGCTCAGAACACCTTGCCTTTCCAGTGCACCAACATACCACATGCTCATCAGCATTTATTAGTGGGTTTGGTGGAAAACATGAAGGTCACTGATTTGCCTTTTGGTGAAATAAGACAGAAAAGGGCCAGGCATACATTGCCTCTTCTGTAATGAGTCAAGCAACTTTTGTTCTTATTTTGTCATGAAGACAGAGGCTCAACAGGAGGAATGCTGAGGCCCAGGGCAGTGGCCATGCCCTCGATTCGTCAGGATGTGTATAAAATCAAGTCAACATCAGGTAGGTACAAGGAGCCCAGTCCTGAGAATCACAGGTTTTTTTCTAGAAGTTTGCTAATTGAATGCTGGGTGGGAAGCAAGATGCTAGGGAGACCTAGAGTCCACATGTGTTTTTCACAAAACAGTGTTAGATTACCACTAACTGCATTTTGTCTATATGATTTCGATATAAGTAAAACAATTTCAAATGCTTCTGATATGTAAGAAGGAAAAAGGAGTTGCTCTTTACTTGATTATTTCCCTATTAAAATTTATCCATTTCAAGTGGGGGCCATAAAGAAATAATTATTTTTCAAAGTTTCGACTGTTCAGTTAAGGGATAGCTATGAAAACACAATTTAGTTTGAAATTCAAGCTGTTTCATTTCCTATTTAATCTTGTAAATTTCCTTCCCTTACAATGCTCAGGTTGGAAGGGTGCCAAATTAGACCAGGAGCAAATTCTCACCAACTTCACTTCAGTGCTTTATTTTTAGATTATATTAAAAACCTCATTAGGCTCCCTGAGGGAAAAGTGTTAACCACTAACAGAGGCAGGGGAAAATAAAGGAACCAGGAAGATAAGGTAAATTGTTAACAAGGAAAGAGCTCTTACAACAGTTGATGCAAGGTCGCTGCTAAAGCTAAAAGACACTTATTACAAAGCCCAGGCAAATGACCTGAGCTTGGAGCTTAGTGTTTCACTCCAGGCTATGGAGGACTGTCGGGCCTGTGGCACATGTTTTCATCATCTCTAGATGGGATGTGGAGGCAACGAAGGCAGAGAAACCCTGAAAGATGGAGGCAAGTCCTCTATGCCTCTCAGAACATGTGCTCCATAGTCTCCTGCAGACAGGCTGGAAAATGGGTAGGCATATACAAGACTGGGAGCAAGATTAAATGGGGTACTGAATGAACTTAGAACTTACTAATGTGTTTACATAATTTATAACCTTTAGGCAATGTTCTCATAAATACAGACTGTAACTTTACATGTGCTAAGCAACAGATACTTGTTTTCCCCACCAAAACACTTGGGTTAAATAAAGAAAATAACAGCATTTATACTACTTTCTTTCTCTCCTTCCTTCTGAAACCACTGCTGGTCATTCTAGAACAGAGGCAGTTTAATTTATTCCAGGCAGCTTCTGTACCACCATCATTTTGGTCATGAGAGCTTATTTAAAAAGGTGCCAATAATGTGTTTGATGATACGTACAAGACAGGGTCAGAAGCAAACCCAAGGTGAGCTAGGCAACCCCTACTTAGGCTGCTGACTTCCTGTGTGCATCCTAGGTTAACACACTTAACCAACATGTCGTAGAGATGGCAGCGATAGATCCTCCCCATCCATCCTACAAATAACACATTGCAGCTTCGATAATAGCCACCACCTCTCCACTTGTGCTATCCTACCACATTTTAAATGACACAACTCCCTCTAATAGTGATAACGGGAAACCAAGGAAATTATAATCTCCACAAAGACATTTTCCCCTCAAGAACAATGAAAGTGCTAATTTACCCTTTATGTTACATGAAATCCTGATTATAAAACTACTCAGCAATTTAATCCTACCATCCATACAATTAGATGTTCCTTTCTGCAAGGTCAAAAGCCAATGAATGATGTCATCCCTTTGTACACCAGAAGGTCTTGACACACTAGCAGTATGTCAGTACTGCAATACCACAGCTGTGGTCTTCAAAGTGAGAGCAGAACGGGTCAATTTCTTTGAGTCCTTTTGCATAAAGACGACTCAAGAGTGTGAGGCAGACACTAGCGGCAGGGCCTTCAGCTCCTCCTGCTAGCTTTCAAGACCACCTACTTCATCACTGGGTCGAGAGGCTGAGGCCTGTCAGCAGCAGCTTCGCTTTGGCTCCGATGGCTGTCTTCGGAGTTTGAAGCCCTTACCACAAGATGGCGGGTTGGTGTCTGAGGATGGAATTCTTCGGCCTGTACCAAGATGAGAGCAGAGGAGGGAATGTAAACTTTGACTTCCTAAATCTATTCACTTTATGATACACAAGTTTGCCGAAGCAATTTGACAGGTTTTATTAAAGTTTAACAAACACTTTACTTTGGATTAATGGAAAGAAAAGTTGGAAAGACGAATGGTATAGAAAGTTTCTGTCTACCCTTATCCAGCTTCCCCTAAAGCTAGGATCTTATATTGCTATCAGATGTTGGCCAAAATGCAGAATTCAATACTTTCACATGATCAGAACCTGCAGATTCTTTTCAGAAGTTACCAGTTTTTCCACTAATGTCCTATTTGTTTCAGGGTCAAAACAAGGATACTACACAGCATTTAGTAAATATTTTTTTTTAATTAAAAAACTTACACATTAAAAACATTTTGTTTCGAGCAGTTAAGACATTCACACTGAAAAAGATTTAGTCAGAACATTTGTGTCCCTCTGTTGTATGGCAGTGGTCACCAGAAACCAGCATGTATAATTTGCCAGGTATACCTCCCCTCTGAAGCACAAATGGGAGTAAACAGCATTCACTGTTCTCCTCACTATTTCCATTCAATGTATCTTGGGGACTGTTTCGCTCTGCGACACTGCATCATATGGATGTGTCATAACTTAACATGCTCTACTAATGGATATCTAGTTCAGTCACCACTTTCTGATGCTGATCAATGGCATTTGTGTGTAGATAGATGAACAAGAGTGGAGAAGCTGAGCCTCACCATTCACCTCCTGGGCATCTGTCTGACACTGTACTCCCAGTGTCTATATGGCACGAATGCAAGTGCAATTTACATTTTGACAGATGCTGCCAAACTGCTCTCTGAAGAGACTATGCCACTTTATTCTCCTGCCAACAATGCATGAGAATGAACAGGTTTCACTTTACTGCTCCGTGAAGCATAATGTCAATTTCAAAAGAAACCCTAAATCACCCGTCCTTCTACCTGGCCAGTAACTCAAGGGTTGCTTCTTGTATACTGATACTCTTCCACCTCCTAACTTTAAAACCACAGACAGTGAAATCCATCAAAGCACCAGAAGCACACTGCCCACACATTTGTTTACACAACTGGTTTCCTTGAATTAGAGCCTAAGCTCTTTCAGGGAAGAGATCCACATTGGTGTTTCCAGGCTCTATCTGATACAGTAAACGGCACTGAGGCATTCTGTAAACATGGAATGAATGGACAGATACATGTTTTGACATGAACAATGCTGAGAAGGGATCTGACAACTCTCAGGTCCTGGGATGCCAGCCCTGAATCTCTGCCATTTTGGGCAGTCTGCAACCCACATGGACAGTACCTAGTACATAGTACTATACCAACTAGAAAATGTCCTCCAACTTTTCAAATGCTCTTAAGAGACTATTGTGATCAAAGCACAAATTCATTTAAAAGCCCTACTGAGCTTCTGTGCCATGCATTTCTCTCTAATTGGAAACTGAAGTAACAGGTAACTGCGAAATGTGACATACAATTCTTTTTGGAATGAGTATTTTCAGAAGAAAGAAGAGAACATCTTTATGAGCTGGGAATAAGCAAGGATTCCTTAAACACTGATTAAAAACCTTTGTGCTGATCATGAAGGAAAATGAGGAAAAACTGGATTTCATTAAGCTTAAGAATGTCAGTTCACTGAAGGATTGACTAAAAAATGAAAGCCAGAGCTGGTGGAGTGGCTCAGGTGGTAAGCGTACCTGCTTATCAAGAAGGCAGGTAGTTCAGGAAAGCAGGCCAAAGACTTAACAGTAACTTCATGAAGAGAATACTCATGGCAGAGGTATGGCTCCATGTGGTAGAGCACCTGCCTATGGAGTACAAGGGGCCCAAATGCCAGTACCCCAGACAGAGAAAGAGAGAGAGAGAGAGAGAATGTTCAGACATTACATAGATGTAAGTATCATGGAAGCACAGATCAATGCCTGTCCACTACAGCAGGAGAGGGCCAGGATCTCATACACCACTGGAGGTTGTCAAGTGGTACAACCACTTTGCAAATTGGCAGTAGTTACACTGAACACATGCAGATCCAATGACCCAGCAATTCTTTGCGTACAGTTTCACCACAGGATATGAGCAGAATGTTTACAATAGTACTATTTGTAATAGCTCTAAATTGGAAACAACCATCCAAATTGCCTATCCACAGCAGAGCAGATAACTATATTGTGGATATTGCCTGATTCTTCCTCTTCCAACCCTGACCTCACACACCAGCCATCTTTAACAGCTGTGCATGATGATACAAACGATCTAAGAATTAATGCAGAATAAAAGCCAGGCACAAAAGGCATGTTTAAAAAAATAGAAAGTATGAGATATATGTAACCATTTTTTGAAACTATGGACATGTATTTTTTATTTTTAGCAGTTAAAACAGAATGTCTTACTGTGTTTCTTTTTTCTTTTAGGTGTTGGGGATCAAATCAAAGGCCTTTACCACTAAACCGTACCCCCAGCTACAATATTTTTTTGCTCTTTTGGTCTTTTTGATAGTATTGAGGTTTTTTAAACTCAGGGCTTTGTACTTGCTAGGCAGGTACTCTATCACTTACGCCATGATGCTGACCCTTTTTGCTCTGGCTATTTTGGAAATAGGATCTCCCCCTTTCCCTTTTAAAAAAATTAGCATATAATAGTTGTACAGGGGGATAAATTGTGGCATTTACATATGTGCTTAAAAGAATTATATTCACCCCTTCCATTTTTCTCTGTCATCTTTCCTCCCCCCTTCTTAGAACAATTTCAACAGGTTTCACTGATCTATTTTCATACATGAATACAAAATTCACCCACCATATTCACCCTCCCTCACCCTTTCCTTATGTCCCCTCCAATCTCACTGGTACCCACCCCCGCCAGACAGGACCTGTTTTAGGGTCTCCCTTTTGGACCGCAATCCTCCTGTTTAAATTTCCTGCTGTCACTGAGAGGCACAGCTCCACCACACCTAGATTTTTTTTTTGCAGTATCGGGGCTTGAACTCAGGGCCTCCACCTTTAGCCACTGCACCAGCCCTTTTGTAATGGTTTTTTTTTTTTTTTGAGATAGGGTCTCATGAACTATTTGCCTGGGTTGGCTTTGAACTGAGATCCTCCTGATTTCTGCCTCCTCTAGGATTACAGGTGTGAGCCACTGGTGCCTGTCCCAATATTAGTTTTTTACATAAGAATATGTTGTGGGTGCTGGTGGCTCATGCCTATAATTCTAGCTACTTGGGAGGCTGAGATCAGAAGGACCATGGTTCATGGCCAAACCTGGGCAAATAGTTTGTGAGACTCCATCTCCAAAATAACCAGAGCAAAATGGACTGGAGATGTGGTTCAGTGGTAGAACTCCTGCTTTATAAGCATGAAGTCCTGAGTTCAAACCCTATTACACCAAAAAAAAAAAAAAAATCAACAAAAAAAACCCTTTTTCACTGTTGGTACAGCTCACTACCTTCCTGTTTTTAAAAACACTTACAATTCTAATAATCTTAACACATACATGTAGATACTCAGTTAGAAATTGTTAAAAATTCCCAACTGGTATAATACCGCCTTTCCAGAATACACTTGGATACCTGCTGTTTATATCTAGGACAACAATAAACATCACGGCTTTTAACCTTGATATGAAAGAGCTTCCTGAGAGTGTCACCAGTAAGCCACTGCTACCAGATGCACCTTGAAAGTACTCTGAAAAGATATGAATCAGCGGCCAAATCTAACAATGGAAAACACTGCATAAAAAAAAATCCAGATTTCTGAATAAAATATAGTAACAAAAAAAACCAACCAACCAACCAAACAACAAAAAAAAACCAACCCATAAAAATACTTGAAAACCTCAGCAACTGGGCAGCCAGAAGCCCACACGCCAGGATGGTCCCAATTGCTGGAGCTGAGTCATACTTAGGGCTTCTCCAGGCCTGCTCCACCGGGGCAGAACCTGACTGGCCCTAATGAGTGCTGGCATTCACGCCCCTTCCTCTTCACAAAGGCCAGGAGCCCTTCCAGCTTTAGTTATCTCAGACCTCAACCAAAGGGTGGGTCTTAATGGATAAGCCTCATTTGCTTATCCATTAAGTCTGTGGTGCTCAGTTAAAGTGAACACTCCCAGCCCCTAGTTCTGCAGGGTCAGCTCCGAGGAACTCAGTTCGGATCCTGCCTCCTCAGAGAAGCTTTCCCTGACCACCTGCAGGCAGTTTTCACCTCATCCTCAACCTCTTTCTTCTTATCTCTTATTATGATCTGAAATGATCCTATTTATCTGGTGTTCACTGTCTGCCTCCCTCAGCAGAATGTGTGCTCCAGGAGAGTGCAGGCTGTGTCTATCTTCTCCACGCTGAATCCTCTGAGTCTGGAACAGTTCCCAATAAATATTTTGATGAATTTGAATGAAATGAATAAACACAGATCCAATCTGTAGAGGATCCCAAAGGCATACAGCAGCCTCTCTGCCATCTACTGTCATCATATTAACACTAGAAAGGGTTGGGAAGGTGGGAAAGAGGGTTTTCTAATCGGAATTACATGTGCATTTCATTTCCCTTTATTTTGTTCATTTATTAAATGACCTTAGATTACTAATTTAGACGCATTTAAATAGAGAAGAAACCCAGCTTCCATGACCTCAATGCCCTCCGTATTATTTCTTCAGAAGGGACATCCTTCAAGAAGGGCTAACAGTCATCTGACAGCAGCTCTCCAGCAATTACATCATGATAGGAAAGCAGGTTATTCCACTATACACTTAAGTCTTATTGCACCAAGGGCAGTAGTGGAGACTAGACGATTCAAAGGAAGTGGGGATTTAACCAGGAAGGTAATTCTGTTTGAAGTTGTTCTGCAAAACCCAGGAGACACAGAGATACTCACTAATTTCTATAAAGAGTTCATTTATGTTTATTGCATTTTTCGCGCTGGTCTCTACAAAAATTGCATGAATGGAGTCAGCGTAGTCCTTAGCCTCTCTCTCCATGACTTCTCTGGAAGACAACAATTGCAAATCAGAAATTCTACCCATTAAGATCTTAATGTTATCCCCACCTACCCAGTAATTAACCAGATTTATGATGCCAAAGGATGTCCCAAATGGTTGTAGAATAAGCCCAGACATGTGGTTCTGCCCAATTACACCACCTCTGTGTTTAAACAAACAAAAGTCAATACCATTAACAATGAATGTAATGGAATGCTCAGGGAATGGCAAGGTTTTCTAGTCCCCTCCTCCCTCCCCCAGCCTGAGAGCATTTGCTTTGCTAATCTTAGATGTGGTACAGAAAAACTCAATAAAATGTGCTTTCTGTATTAAAGCCTGGGGTGGTACTGATCTCAGATAATGTCAAGTGTGATGCTACCAATAGTTAAGTAAATCACACACCTGTCTACTACATAATATAATTAGCTCCAAACGCCTTAAGTCTTAATTTTAGTTTGAAACTTCAGGACCCTAACCATGTAACAAAAAGGAAATTTTCAATGTCAGAGATAAAACGAAAACGAAATTCTTACCCTGGACATTGCTCATTAAGAAAAGGAACATATAATCAGCATGGTAATCTCTGGTTCTAATAACTCACCTGACATCGATAAGATCACACTTATTTCCCGCAATGGCAACTACAATATTAGGTGGGCCATGCTGGCGAAGCTCTTTCACCCAGTTCTTTAATGTTGAAAACGTCTCCTGCAACATGAAAGGGAGAGCAACTGGAGATCTGGGCAACTAAGAGTTCCCAAAGGCATCTAAGAAGAATGAACACAGTCTTACTTCTTTTGTGATATCATAAACGATAATAGCTGCAGCCGACCCTCGATAGTACATTGGTGCCAAGGCACGAAACTGTAGAGGGAAAATAAAGAAATTGGGAAAACTGATTAAATACGGTGCTATAAACAATCGTTTCAGCTAAAAAGGCTTTTTTAATTGAACTCAATGTTGTAATTCCCAAATTCATTTGTTCAATAGTCCTTTAAACTTTGGCTTCTCAAACTATGAGGGAGATAAAAATAAAGCTGTAAACAGTTCTTCAGAGAAGTGGCTGCACTGTGGTGTCACAGAGATCACCCTGTAATCTAGACGCTGATTGTCCTTGACATGAGGACACATTTTAAACTCACTACTTGAATGAGTATGCAGCTTGCTTTTTTGATATCTCCTTGCATGTGGCAGTGTCTAAATGCTAGGTCTCATTTCACTTCCAAGAACTTAACGCTGCATGCATGGCTTTTGCTGCCCTCCCTCATCACACACAATGGAGGGAAAAGGAGGAAAGGGAAATGAATAATTTTCATAGCAAGGGTAATTTAGTGGGCCATTTCTTTTGAGAAGTCTGAGGTGGAAAATGTTTGACTCTTTCTGAGTCAAACTTGGTTCTGGGCACATTTCAACGTGGGCATGACCCACCAAATGTGATGCCAACATTTAAAGACAAGAAGGTTACCTACACTTTACCTTTACCTAACACCCTGACTTTGAAACCTGATCTGTACTCATGTTGTGACAGCACTGTACTGCATACTGCTCTGTTTATGACAGCTTACCTGAAACATAGGCAGGAGCCATCCTCAGAGCGAGGTATGTGCTACACATACAGAATCCACATACAGAACTTTAGACTCTGTAACTTCTTATCAACGATCTTAAGTCTAAACTTTTAGCTTTTAAACTTTGCTGTTCAGAATTTTCCAAAAGAAATGGAATTATGACTGGGAGCCCGTAAGGGAGGACAGCAAGTTTCGTTTTGCACTTCTTTTGGTCTCAGGGCCTGGTGCACTGTAGGTAATCAGTAACTGGTGAATAAATGAACAACCACTGTGCACATATGGGTGATGCCAAACCACATGCCAGACCCAGGTGTCCACACACACAAACTTATTAGTCTGTGAGAAAAACACCTATCTCTGGGAGAAAGCCTGTTAACTTCCAATAAAATGCTAAGTTTTAGAGAGAAGAAAACAAAAATAAGAGTTATAAGTAAGAAAGCACTGTAGAAAAAAAAAAACTTACATCGTGAAGTGAAAAAAATTTACCTTGTTGGACTGAGTTCCATAGCATAAGAGGAAAAGTGAGACAGAAGTGTACCGGTGGAACAAAGGCTATGGTATTAGCTTCCATTTTTGATGTACTTGTGATGACACTGTCCTTTACAGAACTATTTCTTTTTCTTTGTTCAAATTTGTAAGGTAAACCCCACATTAAGAAAAGCAAAGATCATAACTGTACAATCTGATAAAATGACAATGTGTACAACCATGTAAATGCTATCCATGAAGACAAACATTTCCACCAACACACAAAATTCCTAGAACCCCTCTTTATTATGTCCCTTTAACCTTGATAATAACTCTTATCTTCAAGTCTATTTATTGGTACAAACATAATAATGAACAACACTTTTCTTTTTCTTATACTTTGCCCTGAATATGTTTCCATTTTTTACTTCTTACCTATCTTTGTTTTCACATATAAGGTCATCCTCTTTACACAGAGCATGGCTGGGTCAGGGCCTGAGCACTTCTGCCTTTTCTGTGGATGCTTGGTTTCTTTACATTTCTTGTACTCAGTATGAGGGTGGAGGTCTACCATTTTATTTGCTTTATATTTGTTCTGCTTCTTTTAAAATTACTTGCTTCCCTTCTTTTGCATTGATTATTTTTAAGTATTCAATTTTAATATATTAATTCTTCTATTGACTTTTTACTTTCTTGTATTTTTAAATGGTTGTTCTGGTAATTACAATATACATTGTCTATAGTCAATATGGAGTTTAAAATGTATCCCTTCATATAAAACATCAGAACCATGGAAAATCAAATTCCTGCTCTCCCACCATTTTTTGCTATTCTTGTCATCTAATACTTAAAATGTACGTTTTATAAACTGTACAATCAAATGCTGTGACTTTTAAAATTAAAGCCAGTTGTCTGTCTTTAAAGAACTTGAGAGGAAAAAGAAATGGATTTTCTTATTTACCATTTTCAGGATTTATTCCTTCCCCTCTGGATGTGAGTGGTCATCTGGTGTTACTTCCCTTTAGTCTGAAAAACTTTTTGGGCCAGCTGCTGCTGAATTATATTTCTGTTTTTCTAAAAATGTCCCAATTTTGACTTCAAATTTGGAAGATATTTTTCGTAGACTGACAGTTCTGGTGGGTTTTTCTATTGTTGATGTTGGCTTTCAGCACATTAAAGACACTTCCCAGTTTCTATAGGAAGTCAGTCATCATTCCTATTGTTCTACTGAATATGATGTGTCTTTTATCTTTAGCTGCTTTTAAGATTTTCTCTAAACCTCTAGCTTTCAGCAATTTGACTATGATGTACCTAGATGTGGTTTTTGTTTTGAACTGCTTCAATTTGTGAGTTGATACCTCACCAAACTTGGGAAGAGTTCAGCCATTATTTATTGAAATATATGTATTTTTTCCTGTCCCCCTCTCTCTCCTCACGAGTCTTAATTACATGTTATGTTAGACTGAATTTCTCCCTATTGTACTGAGACTGTTCAAAACTTTCTTTTCTAATTTGTTACATCTGGTGCACTTTTTATCTTAGATACTGTGGCTTTCAGTTTTAGCATTTGATTCATTGTTTGTGTCCATTCTGTGTGAGATTTCCCATCTATAGTTAAGTAGTTAAGCTTATGACTATTTTTCTTTAAGTCTTTGAATATATTTAAAATGTGTGCTTTAATTCTGTACCTGCAAATTCTGATAACGGGGGCATTTTGGGGTTTGCTTCTACTCACTGGGTCCTCTTTTCCTGTTTCTTCTACAGGAAGAATTCTGCTTGTACACTGGGTAGTATGAATGACACACAGTAGACTGCTATCTTCTCTGAAGAGTGTTAAAAGTACTGACTAATCATCCTAAGACTGTTCTGCACATTGTTAGGATGGGTCTGCTTGGGATTTTCCTTAGTCCCAGGACTTGATCTCCATCATGAAGTCTCAATGGAATGTTCAAAGTGTTTACCAATTCCCTCTAACATAGTAGGACTGGATTCAACCCCAAACTCTACCTCTGCTCTGAAGGTCAGCAGCTGAAATCTCTGTACCATCTTGTCACCATTGTGGCTGTTGGTTTCTATTGGGTTTTGAAATGTCTAGCCTGGCATTCATAATTTTGGAGTCAATGAAAGACTTGAGGGGAATTTATCAACAGATTTTGGGGCTTCCTTTCTTGTTAAATCCATCTTTTCTGGGGTTTGCTTCCTTTTTCCCAGCTACTCTAGCAGGCCCAAGCTCTGTTCTCAAATACTACAAACTGAAGACAGGCTTTCTGCTTGAGTCTTAACTACCTTATGCTCCATGAACTGAGGAGTGTCAACTGGAAGAAAGCTATCAAGCTGCACCAAATATTGCTCCCTTTTCAGTCCCTGACTGTATTTGGTTGCTCTACAGTACCTTCAAACAGTCATTTTTCAAGTTTTGTCCAGAGTTTATATATAATTGTTGCCTGTTATTGGATATTTTGAGCCAATAACAGAAGTGTTATTGACATTAAAACTCTTTCCATATGCTTTTGGCATAAAGAAGATGAATGCATACAGAGACTCAAAAGATGTCAGTACATTTGTGCTCCAAATGTGGCTGTAGATCAGGGGACAGCAAACTTTTTCTGGCCTAGGACAGGTAGTAAATAGTTTCAGCTTTGTGGGCCACATGATTTCTGTTGCAACTACTCATATCTACTATGGTAAAGTGAAAGCATCTAGATAAAACGTGAACAAATAAGTGTAGTTATGCTCCAATAAAACTTTATTTACAAAAAAGAGACAGTAGGTTGGTTATGGCCTACAGGCCACAGTCTGCTGACACCAGCTTTAGATGACCCTAAACCTCAATACTTGTTCCTGATTTTAAACCTGAGAACATTTCTGCACAAGGCTGCTCTGACAATAAATGAGAGTTTACTGTCATGGTCTTCTGGCCTCTGTGGAAACATTCACCAAGGGAAACCACAGAAAAGGTGGGGATAAATCTTCAGGTTTAGATGCAGTATCTCTTAGACTTGGTCATAAAGCTTGGCAAGCATTTGACATGTTTTTCTACACTTATAGTATATTTATGATATGTATTTAGGGTGCTCATTCATCTCAATACTAGTGCAGGAGTATTATTGGCCAGAAAAGGTGACAAAACGAATTCACTCAGGACCAAAAATAATAGGGAGAAAAAGAACTCACAAAGACTCTGTCTTGTGAAAATAAGAAGGTTCATTTTACCTGGCAGTTGAAAAAACTAGCATCTAATTTTTTAGATGAACAATTAATCAAAGTTAATAGATAACTTGGCTATGAACATCCTGATAAAACTATATGCTAGCACAATACAATATCCTTCATTTCACATTTGACTTTCATACTCCTATCATAAAAATGATCATTTTTACAAAAATATTTGCAGGCTCGAGTCAAGTTTTCCTGGAGTCTTTCCTGACCCTTTGACGCTATCTTCTGAACACTGACATTGGCATTTCAATCACTATTTTTCTCTTCATTTAACAAGATCCCTACAGTCAAGGGCTTCACAGAACCTTTGAAAAATTCCTCAAAGTCACTTTCACTGACTTAGTGAAATCACTTTGCAATCAGCTGTAAGATAACCCATGTGTCAAAACTGTGTGACATCAGATGCTAGGACCAAAAAAGGGTTTTCATTTTATAACAACTTTCAGTTCCATTATGAACCTCATCACTACAGAGAACTAAATAATAAACATAGAAGCACCAGACAATTGTAACTAGAGGCGTGTACTACACACATAGTGAAAGTAGGTAGCGCGCTGTCCTCATCTGTGCCTGACATATGTTTACTGGTATTACCACTATGTGCCAAAGGCTGAGAGCAGAGACATGAAAATAGTCCCTTCCCCAAGGAGCTCACAGTTTAACAGAAGGCAGACAAGTAGGAAAACAGGTGATGATCTCAGAGACGAGGGTAATCAAGGACAATCCAGGATACAAGGTGTCCCTTTGCTTCTTAATCCAACCAATAATTGAACATTAGCTTTACATCAGGAACTATGCTAGGGAATGGGGCTACAGCAGTAAACAAGACACTGTGGTCCCAGCTCTCAGTTTATAGTCTGGTAGAAGAGACTCTCAATGAAGGTAAACAGATGGACATCTAGTTATAACTTGTAATGAGTGTCTTGAGGAAAACAAATACAGGCAATGACAGAGAAGGGGTATAGGGAAAACTCCCAAGTGAGACATTTAACCTGAGACCAAGATCTGGTAAGGAGCATGTGAGTGGAGGAAAGACAAGAGTTCCAGTGAGAGGTACCAACACATGTGGAGGTCTGCTGGCAATAGTGCTGGAATACCTGAGTGGAGACCAGTGGGCTGGCAATCAGCTAGGAGGCAGACTGGGTTGGAAGGACGCTGAGGACAGAAGTGGAACAGGGCATGTGGGCGCTGCAGGCCTTTTAGAATGTGGTTAGAGGAGAGCAGTGAGTAGTCACTGAAGGATGTTAGCAGGGTCTATGAATGCTTCCAAAAGACTCTGGGTCTTACGAGCAGAAGTGACATGAGTTGGAGTTGCGTAGAGAGAAAGCAGGAAAGCAGGCTGTAGGAATACTTAACTAAGAGTGAAAGGTAGCTAACAATACAGTGCTGGTAATGAAAGTAGAGAACTGAACATACCTGAAATACACTCAGACAACGGAGCTGTCAGGACACCCAGTCAGAGCAATGTGGAGGGCACAAGGGGAGGGAAGAATACAAGATACCTCTAGATTTGGGTCTGAGCATCATGGGTATATGGCAATGCAGTTACTCATCCAAGAATGCATGGCTGGTTAGAAAGCTCCTTCTCTTTCAGAGATATCGGAGGTAGGTTCTGAAGGCTGAATAATTTTCCAGACAAAAGGTGGGAGGAAGGGTAAGAAGGTATTAAATTGTATGGGAACACTGAAGAAATACAGACAGTTTCTTACTAGATGGCAGATGGACAGAAGGTGGTGAAAATGGAGTGTCTAGCTGTGGTTGGTACATTCAGGGTCTTTAAGGCCTTGTCTATACAACCAGGCAGCCCTTGAAGCAGAATGGCTTACAAATGCAGAGGATGCGATCCTCCTGCATTTCAGTCAATCTGTGACGAGTTGTCAGATGTCTATTCTCTTAAGCCCTGTGATACGGCAATCTTAGACCTGTGCTCTTGCCCAGGAACAACTGGCTGGAGGCAGTGCTCCCTAGGTGGGGATGCTCTTCTGCCTCCCCAGTGCAGGGCCTCCTGGTCAGGGTCCCTCCCCTAGTCTGGTGCCCGTTAGCATTTCCTGCCCAGCTCTGGGCTGGATGATGGTGCTTCAGGTAGAGAAGAGGCATGGTTACATCTCATAGTAACTATTCCTGCTGAAGAACCAATTAGAAGTAAGCAAACAGGAAGGAACAAACCAGCTACTTACACACTTTCACAGGTTCCTGCAACAACATAAGCAGAAAGGGAGAGGCATATTGCTCTGGGGTGTTTGACTCTTCATGTTCCAGAAAAAAGAGAAGTAATACATCACGTGCATCACAGGACAGGCTCTGATATAAAACATAATGGGGTCTGTATTCCAGCATGATTCTTTATGAAGGCTTTGCTGCACCATCAAATATATGTGAGGGGTAACTTGGGATTCAGAGTAAGGGCACGTATGTTACTAGTATGAAAAGTTCCACCTAGGACAGATCCCAGGGCTATGTATAGATATATGCAGGACTGTGGTAAGCAAAACTTTTGCAGAACGGAAGAGTGATGTTAGCAAAGGTCTAGCTGTCCTAGATGCTCCGTGATACACGCACAACACAAACACAGGAGAAAGAATGGGGAATGGAAGACCATAAGCAGACATTATCTCAGATGAATAACTGAATGGGAGCATGACATCCAGTGTTAAAAATGGAAGAAGCCAACCAGAGCAAACTTAAGACATTAAAGCTGTACAAATGTGTGATGTCCACATCTAGGACACCAGTAATGGCTCATTTTGTTTTTTCCATTTGTCTGTGATGATTCTTGTCAGATTTTATACCATACACAGTATCTATGTTGTCTTAGATAAGACTATGATGACAGATTATTTTTTCTGATTACTTCTGGTATACTTTTAAGAGCTTAAGACAGCACTGTACATCCATCAGATGTTCTGTTTTGATAGTACTATTTGAAAACAAAATTAAACGGCAGCTGAATAATGGGGTAGTTGCCACAGGTACTTTGGCAGGCAATCTGGACATGGTACTCAGAGGGGAGATGAGGCAGCAGGCATGTGGTCTGCTCCCTTCACAGCCCCTCCAGATTTGGGTGGGCATTCTCAAGTCCCATTGGACTCTGCTGCTGCAGGCAACCCCATTGTGGTTCAGGCTCTGCCTTAGGCAGATAACCACTGTGGTCAATTTTATCATCAGGCATTTATTAAGTGTCTATTGCAAGGCACTGTGTTAGCTCATCCATTTCACTTAAATCTCAAACTTTATATGCTGTAAAGTCCCTCTTTAGCTTTTAAAAGGAGGCTATAAATGAGTTGTGCTTAACTCTCCCTTTCTACCACTAATTCTTTTACATCTTTACAAGAGGATGGAGCTCCAAATTACACACAATGCTTGAGCAGGATTTTATCAGGCCTGTTAGTCAGCATTTACTTTAAGACACTAAAAAGTATAAAAATGCCCTCAGTGCCCATTATCACTTTCTCCATCAGTGGACTTTGTGGCTCTAATTGAAAAGAAAAAGGCTGGCCTACGTAAATGGAAATAAATGTGTCTCTGGCGCATAGGAGAGAAGTGAGTAACGTGAAATGACAGGGACATTGACAGTTTAGTTGGAATTTTAATTTGTTTTGGGCCTCAGAAAAACACATAGTAAATTAAGGAGTGACTTACTCGTTCTTGTCCAGCTGTATCCCAGATTAGGAATTTATGTAGCTCATTTTGGTACTGGACAGTCTTGGTCATAAAAGATGCCCTACAAAGAGAGACCTAAATGATCAGAATACAATCATTTAAAACACGTTTTTAGCCCCAGTTGGAAACATCACTTAGACTTAACACTCAAACTCCCAGCTTCATACTATATCCTAATTGTGTTTTCTCTAGAGCATTTATGGGATGCTCAGATGCTGGTTACATAGTCTTTGCTAAAATAAAGCATTAGGCACAGCTTCCCAACACAAAGAAGGAAGAGGAGAAGAAAGAAAAAAAGAAACAACAAAAAAAACCAAAACAGCACAATATAACAACAACAACAAAACAAAGAAGGAAGAGTTCCTGGGCTTTTGAATGCCAAGCTTCATATCAAAAGAACTGAGACATGGTTTGGTCATTCAAACTATGTTTTACTAGCTTATTAAAACATTATAAGCTGTCACTAAAAAGAAAAGATGCTACCTTGAGATAACATCTTTCTGAAAACCAGGATGTCCAGGAAATGTGTGCACTAATAAAAAAAAATTAGGTCATTTTGGATTTGTCCTCCAGTTCTCAGACCACATGCCCACATAAACAGCTGAGTAAAAACTAGGGTAACACTGAAGTTAGTAAAATTAAGGTAGTAAACGAGGAGCAGGGAGACACTGGAGAACTGTGAGTTGAGCTAAGGTAGCCTGACTCGTGCTCAGCATCTGGGCAACGACCTGTGCCTCATTCATGTTTTCAACTAAGGTTTAGTGCCATCCTTAGGCCTCGTCCAGTCCCTGGTGGAGGAAGGAATAGTAGTTTTCAGGTCACATTTCTCCCTTTCAGGAAGGCACTATGCTCAAGGGGCTTTGATGAAGGAGTTTCTGTATTTAGGGGACCCCATACTTTTTAGAGGCTCTTGAATAAGACCTCAAAGTATGTATTTTCTGAGGAGCCACTGTTTCCCAAAGCATGTGCCTAAGGTTCTGGGACACACGTCAGGAGTCCTGCCCTGAGATGGGGCCTGGCTCTGACACTACCTTCTACCTTCTGCTCCCCACTTCCCTAAAGGGACACAGCTTGTCTCAGAGTCTTCTTACAGTACCCTAGCCCGGTTCACAAGGTGCCCAGCAATGGGCAGGTTTTCTTTGCCACTGGATGACAAGACTTCCGGGGCAAAGAGCCAAGTTGTATTCTTGAATCATATGCCACTCACTCCATCAAGACAATGAATTCAATGGCTACACATCTTCAGACATGCTGAGAGTTTGAAATATTTTTTATTGAGAATGAATAGATAATATTCAAGGAAGTGCAAGTTGAAATTGATCAACTTTTGGAAGCATCAGTGTGCTTAGAGGAGCATCAGAATCCTTGGTCTTAAAAACTTCAACTCTGACGCAATAAATTCCTGGCAATATTTGTATAAATTTACACATTTACAAATTTATAAATTTGGAGGCACAGTAAGTAGCCTCCAAAACAATGATTGTGTTGATGGGAAGTGAATAAAAAGCAAGATCACCTTTACTGGATAGGTACTATTTATTAGATATTTATTTGCTGGAAATTTACCCCTTGACATCCTTAGTGAAGTGCTTTGTGCATAGGAGACTCTTAGTAAGTGACGAGTGTGGACTTTTGGCAATTCACCATAATTAAATCAGGACGTGCAACATGATCTCTCACTCAGTAAAGATCTAAGTATTCAAAAAGTATGATTTATGGAAAATGTTAAATGAGATGATGTATGTGAAAGTGCTTTGCAAATTGTAAGGCACTATGTCTATACAAGGTATTATATTATTATTATTTAAAGGAAGTTTCAGGCAATACTTTAGTTTGGGCTTTGCAATTAGTCCTAAAAGCTTGCAACTCAACTCTTCATCAATTACTGCTGTGGTGCTACACTGAAGAGTAACAACAGTTATTCAATAGAAGCCTGTTCATAGAACCAATGCATCCAACACATCTGACTGATGAAAGGAACCCCAAAGCTGACAAAAGTAGATGGAACAATTAAAAGGAAATGTTTTGAATGGCTGCCGGTAGCTCACAGCTATAATCCTACCTACTTGGGAAGTAGAGATCAGGAGGATCACAGTTCGAAGTCAGGCCAGGGAAAAAGTTTGTGATCTACTATCTTGAAAATACCCATCACAAAAAATAGTAGCAGAGTGGCTCAAGTAGTAGAGTGCCTGACTAGCAAGTGTGAGGGCTTGAGTTCAAACCCCAACAAACTCCTTGGTCAACACTCCCAGCTTGAGAATGGATGACTTTTCACCCATGCTATTATTTCCCCTTTTCTAACTTTGGCTGAGTCAGAGATGTCTTTTCCTCAGTTCATGCATAACCACGACTCTGTTCATGTTCCCAGCACTTCTGGCTTGGATCATTGCAGTCATCAAATTGGTCTCCTATTCCCAGTCTCAGATGCTTCCACTTCCCATCGTCTGCTCCTCACTGAATGCTTCCCACTGGTGCTCACTTGGCCAGGTGCTCCCTTGGCCAGGTGTTCTTCACTCTTTAAGGACTTAGTTCCAACATCAATGACCACAGGAGCCTGGACTACCCACACAAAGCTTCCTACCCAACTCCATTTTCCAACACAGCATCCCATTTTGTGTTTAGAGCATCTACTACAAAGTCTAATTCATTTGTGTTTTTAGAAATTTACCTATTCAGTGTCTAACTCACCCCAGTGAAATGTAATCTCCATGAGGAGACTGCTATGGCTCTTCCTCCCTAATAAGATTATCTTTCATATCTCCCTTCTTGCTATCCTAGAACTCTAGTCAACATTTACTGTGCTGTCCACAAGCTACTTGGTTATTTTTCAGTGCTGTTTTGTTTTGTTTGGGTGCTGGGGTTTGAACTCAGGGCCTCAAGCTTGCTAGGCAGCCATTCTACCACTTGAGCCACTCCATCAGCCCTGCTACTTGGTTGTTTTTCACTCTAACATTTCCTGAAGCAGAAAGTGACATGTGCTACTCAAGTGCAGGTAAAGAATAGGGATTAGAGGAGACTTTGGCTCTTTAACTATAGCCAGGGCTGTGGCATGAGGGAATTGGTTCAAATAGGACAGGGCTGCCTATACTCAGGGTGCTTCTTATCTTCTCCTGCTCAGTCACCAGCTCCAACCCCAATGCTAGCCAAGAGAAAATAAGCAAAATCCAGGGCTGGCAGCAAAGACACAGTGTACCCCTCTGTCACTGGGACCTCTGGGACTTTGCTGAGGTAGGAGGATTAGCACTTTATGGGGGTGTCTCAGCTGCTCACTCATGGGTTCAATCAGTGCTCCTTTTCTCCTTTAGGTCCCAGCTCATGTGGCTAGGATGAGATGACCACTCTCTTACCACTCCTCCTCTGAGCTCCATAATGTCTCTTTATAGCAACAGTCATCTCTGCTGATTTTTAAGAGATTGAAAGTTTGATCTGTCACATCTGTAAGAACCATTTCCTCTTTCTAAGCATTTGGATTTGGCTCCTATATGTGGTTGTTAATACCCTGGACTCAGGGTCAGAGTTGGGGAGTAGGTGTTGCCTGTTGTCTTTCTCAAGTGGTCTCCACTGAGCTCTGTGCTAATCCCAGGACAGGTTACCTATCTGACCCAACAATGAATTTCATGCCACAGCTGTTAAGGATAGCACTTTTCCAAATCTAATTGACTTAAATTATAGAATGCATCTACTTCACCACAGTTAACATGGTAAAGATGGGGCTTATTTCCATCCAACCCCTACAACAGCCCCAAATTCTAAGTTCTCAGTCACAGAACATAATGCCTAGTGCGTAACTATTTTTTGTCCATTGTTACTTGCATCCGATTTTGTAGTAAAACTGCCTGGTTATTCATTTTGTATTTAATCTACACTTGTACCTCGACCCTGAAATAAATTCACAAATTGAACCCTAATCTTTAGGTGGAACTACCAGAATTTTTTCCTCCCATCATCGCTTGAACTCCAGCATCACTCTTTTAATGTTCAAGTTAAAAGATGCAGAGGGTATGATAACTTCAGTATCTTGCTTTCTGCAAAACAGGCAATGGCTCTTTGCCATTCAAATGACACATTTTTATTTTCCAGCTTGCCATTTTTTTTGTCTGATAACCTTATTTTTCACTACTAAACCACATCTCTTCAGTCTGCCTAGGCAGATCTAATCTAAAATCCCTACTAGCATTATTTCCTGAAGCTAGAATGCCTTTCATATGCTTCTCCATTTTTCATGAAATCCTGAAAATATGACTTTCATGCACACCAAATAGTCACGATCTTTGGTCAGAATATGTGTTCCCAATGAAAATACTTGCTACAAGGCATTTTAACATTTTATTTCTTTAACTGCAGTAACATATTTAACTTGCAACATAGGTGTGCAATGACATTACATTGCAGAACCTCTCTTTACTGTAAGCCCATTTCTTTGAACTGCACATGGGATGCTGAGATCCCCATAGTGTGTTTTGGGGATGAACAATTCAGTACGTCTTAAAATTAACAAAAGATCATAACTTCTAAACACTTTAAATTTCACACAAACAACACTTTGATCTCTAGGTTTCATGTAATGATAGAAACTCTGTTCAACATACAAGACCAAGCATAAAAAGATCAAATGTATATGATGATATCTTTATTCTTTTCATTAAACTCTACCATCTCTGCCCTAAGACAGATCTAAAGACTAATTTACCACTCTGTTTAGTGTTTTCTTCTAAGCAGTCACTACCCACTTAAATTAGAGGGGTACATAATAGATTATTCCACAGGTTCATAGTCATTCAAGCATTCCTTATTATATTTTACATTTCAGTAAAACATTCAAAATCTTTTGGGAAAATATTTAAAGTCTAGGAAAATATTTGTTTAAACTAGAGCTAACTAAATGAACAAAGTTTAGCTTCCCCTTTCCTAAGAATTACCTACAAATATAATCCTTTCACATCGTCAACAATAAAATCATCAATGATAACAAAATTAGTTGCCTCTTCCCATATTTTCATGTGTGTGAGCCTCTGAGTTAAGTTCTATTCTTCTTCACGGGGCATGGATGTAGACACTGAA